AAAAAAAATTTTTTTCCTAAAAAAAAATGGTCTAAAAAAAATTTTAAAAAAAATTTAGAAATTTAGAAAATAAATAACTTTTTTTCAAAACAGATCACTTAAACGTCATTTTGAGATCACCTTGGACCTCCCTTTGAGGTCACTTGGAGTCCGCTTGGACGTCACTTAGACATCACTTGGAGGTTGCTTTGACAAAAATTTTTCTAAAAAAATTTTTTTTCTAAAGAAAAACAATTTGTCTAAAAAAAAATTTTTTTAGAAATAAAAAACTTTTTTCAAAAGAGATCATTTAGACGTCAGTTGCAGATCACTTAAACGTCACTTGGAGGTCACTGTGAGCTCACTTGAGATCACTTGGACGTCACTTTGAGATCATTTGAGATCACTTAGACGTCACTTGGACGTCACCTCGAAGTCACTTGGAGGTTGCTTAGACGATCAAAAATATGAACATTTCTGCGAAATCCTTAACAAAACGCTGAATAATAACTACTTATACTTCTTAAAAAATAAAATGTAACAAAATATTTAAACAAAAACCATAATATACAATAAAAAAAATTAAATTTCTTTCTCAAAAACAAAAATATAATTAGAAAACATCAAATTTAAAAACAACAACAATAAAACAAATATAAATTTACATTAATTATAAACAGTTATTTTTAATTTTATAAAGTAACATTTAAACATTTGAAAATTAAAAATACAAAAATAAAGAATGTAAATTATTTCATATAAAAACAATGTAAAACAATCCTGAAAAAAAATCTAATGATAAAAATCAAACAACAAAATCTAAAATAATAAATTAGAAAGTTGAAATTAAAAATTAAAAAATGTAAAAAAAAAAAAAGTTAAAAGTTAAGTTTAGGTTTTAGGTTAGGTTTCTGGTTAAGATCAGGATTACAATAAATCAAATTCAGATTGGTGTAATCAAACAACTAGAAAAAAATGCTGAGTTCTTGTAAATAAAGGGAAACAAGAAGAACAAAGACATTATCAGAAAAAGTTTGAAATGTATATACTTACTACAGGAACTGTGCCAGTAGTGTGTGTGTGTGTGTCCCATGTCTTTGTCTGCTGCTGCTTGAGCTGGTCCTGGCAGGCCTGTGGGAAAGGATTAGACTTTCACGCCTTTCCTCCACACTGGATCAAAGACATTCCTTGCATAACAAATCAATGAGTACTGTCTCTCTCTCTCTCTCGCACACTCTCACACACACAGATACACATACACTGCTGTTAATCATTAGCCAAACATTAAGTTTTAGAATTAGGACAAAACTCAAATGTGTGTAGGAAAATGAGCTGCACTGGCACCAAAGTGTTTTAGTGTAAAGATGCAGTTGATAAATGTGAAAACAATCATTTCATTTGACCACAACACTCACTGTTGTTAATCAGAAAATACATTATACTTTTCACTAAGGAACAAAGTAGAAAAATACAGCCAAATCCATCTACAACGTCTTTTATTGTGTAGTCGACACAAATAATACGTGGTTTGTTCCAGTTGCGGACAACTGGTCTGAAGTAGACACAAGTGTGTGAAACAATTTTGTAAAAAGTGAACAAAAACAGTCGATGGCTTACCAAGCATGACACTGAATCTATGTACATCCTCACGTTAACTCACTGACAGCTTGAAACTTGAAGCTTTTTTCTTTCTTTTATAAATATAAAAAAAAAAAACGATGAGAGGGAGGAAGGTTCGGCCTCCATGGGCCTAAAGGCGGATAAAGTCTCTTTCAGCGAGACAGCTTAACACTCAACAGAGTTATACATATCCCATTTTTCAGTTATGGCACCAGTATCAAAGCATGCCCTGGACTGGGACTCGCGCCGTTTCCATCACAGAGGCAGGTTTAACAGAGCTGGTAGGCACTGAACCAACAAGTCCAAACGAATCAGAACTACACACATACAAAGTCAGCACTACAAATCAGAGATAGATCTGGACTGTCACACGAGGTATAATGGATTGAAGAGTCTTCTGTACATTGTCTCGTGGTGTTTTTTTTTTCCATTTTGTTTGTTTGTTTTTTTTTTTTTGGAATATTATTAGAATCATTGTGTAATTACAGAAAAAAACATGACAACAAAAAACAAAATCACATAGAATCTACATAAAAGCTGAGGATGTCAATAACAGGATTTTCTATGAGAAAATTCAAACCTAAAATGGCAGTATATTGACATACATACGTATAATAATAAAAAACATCCAAAAATGTAGCAGCAAACAGGAGAAAAGCATTGATTTCAATTAATTTGACATTTTTTTTCTTTTTTTTAATATAAAAACATGTAGCTGGGATTTATTATTCTATAGCAGCAGAATATAAGGAGTGTTTCTCTCCAACTCTCTCTCTCTCTCCATCCTTTATTTACAATCAGAAACCTCATTTTCAGGGTTCCTACAAAGACGTTCTTGATTTGACCCGACTCCTCTTGTGTAGAACCCCTGGCTTTGACTCCACAGCGCCCCCTGAAGCCTTCACCCTTATTTTTCATACTTTACTGCTGCACCTCTTCCTCCTTATCCTCACCCCCTGGTGGCAATTTTTTTTTCAGATTTGCTCTCATGAAACACAGCCCATCTTTTCAGTTTGTGCAAAATCATGTCTCAACACTCCTGTTATCCATTTTCTTTTTCTTTTTAAAGCTTCATCCCAGAATCCTACAACCCATGAGCAGTGATGGACGTCCTGGTGGCTTTATGACAATCTCACCACAATGCGGTTTAACTGAAGACATCAAGTTTGGCTAAGGGCAAATATTAATAATAATATGCAGCATGATTATAATATTATGATACTGCATGAGGTTGGGGCTGGGGGGCACTACAATACCAAATTGTCATTAAAGTGTAATTATATTTTCTGGAATTCTGCACAACCATATATTCAAGATTTTCCACTGCAAGTTGAAAGTTCAGAGGTCTGAGGTCATTTCTATGAGATCCAGCAGAGGGTAAACTAAGAGCAACTTAGTGGGTTTAGTGTGAAAACATAATGATAGCATGTTTGGCTATCAGAAAGCTATGTCAACAGTCAAAACCAAAACATCTGAAAAGGTCAGATGCAGTGTAACAGTGTTTGTAACTGTTTCATTTTAATTCTGATCATAAATTGTAGTTCAGTTTTGTGAATTACAAGTGTTCTTCAAGAGATCAACTCAACCACTGTCCCTGGTGGCAATTTCTTTTAGTGCCCAAAAAAAACAAAAAAAAACAAAAAAAACTCCAAACTGATGCCTCCAGGCCAATGTGGGGCAGCATTCAGGAACGTGTCACACTGCACATCAGTATTCACTGCTCGACTCCACGACCACCTGCTTTCTCCTGCTCAGATCCTTGTTTTTGTTTCCATGTTTTCTGAACTTTGTCACCAGGGTTTTGTCTCTCAGAGGAGCCAGCAGTGCTGACCAAAAGTGCTTTTTTTTTTAAAGAAAAACAAAAAACTTAACGGTGGAATGGTATTAGAATACTACTACACAGAAAAGTAAAAAAAAACCATGAACGTGTGGATCGGTCTGCTCATGTTTGCATGAATTTGATCTCATCAAATTGCAGAAAGGTTGGATGAAAAAAAAAAAGTTTTAACCCAAGCCGTGACAGCAGCAAGCTCTATGTCAGAGCTTCTTCCACTTCTAAAAAAAGACAAATTTTGGACCAATGAGGTTTGAGACTAGCTGATAGAAGGGTCTAGGTTCATATATGTATATATATATACACATACATATATGTATGTATATAATAAAGTGACTAAACAAAAGCAATCAGGGGTATAAGGATGTCTGCACTGTAACACGACAAACAAGGGAGAGCTTGGACAGGAAGTCTCAAACATTCTAGGGACAAACAAAATAAATCTCCTCTCTTTAAGACTACAACTACCTGCTGCATGTGACACTTTGGGATGTTGTAGTAGGAGACTTCAGTCTGTGGCAATTAAAAGATTCTTAGTTAATAACTGGGGGAATAAGGCGAGGGGCGAGTGGGAGGGTGGTCTACAAAATGTCTTGTTGTGGGTTTTTTCCTCCAGCCCACAGTGTCTCCATTCTTTATTCTCTTCCATCTTCTCATGTCGAGTTCACTGTCCTGGGTGAGAGGGGACACTGAGAAAACAATAAGGAACTTATGACAATAGTTACAGGGCCAGCAGCAGGGGGCTCTGTCTCTTCTTAGCAGTCGTAGCAAGGTGGCGTTGCATGCGAGTGACATGTTGGTTAGCAGGAGGGAGAGGGACCCTCCACCCATGGACACCCTTCTAATCCACAACAGCTTTCCCTCGATTATCAGGTGGTGGTGCACAGCAGCCGCATTTCTGTCTGTGGCTTCAAATGTTAATGTCTCTGACGTCTGTGGGTGTGCAGGACAGGTCCACATCCTCCTCCAGGCGTTTGGTTTCTGTGGCACTGCCGCTGTACTGCTGGGCCTGTCGTAGGCTGGACTCCAGCAGAGACTCGATCTGTTCCTGACATGATCTCAGGCAGTCCTATAGAGGAATTAAAAAAAAACAAAAACAAATCACAAAGTCAGACCAAGAACACACAGTCAACATACCTCATAGTCATATGCTGTTTAGGTTTTGTTTTTTTTAAACATACCGGATCACTGCGGATGACCTGTGACAGGAAGTTGGTGAGGTTCTGAGAGGAAAGGGAAGAGTCTTGACTTTTCAGGTACAGGCCTTGCACAGCTGCGACTACACTGCCTGCTGCTACCATGGATGGTGGACTAGCGATGAAGTTAACATCTGCAACACCATAACAAACAAATCCCCCCAAAAATTAGGATAAAAAATCATAAGGTTCTTCTGTTGTGGTAATAAATACGAAAAAAAACATTCTAATTAATTAATTTGTTGCCTGGAGAAGAACATAAATAAATATGTTCTGGAACAGAAGTGTTTATTTTGCTATTTTCTAAATGGACCTGACACAGACAGATCTTAGAGTCTGTACCAAGCACTCAGACAGGGCTGTCTCTTCTGTAGTGAACAAAGGAAGTGGGGGGATAAAAAAAAATCACTTTTGACCAAATAAGGACAGGACCAGGCAGGAAGTAGTGACCTTATATAGAAGGACACCTGTTGTTCAGAGGATAAATAACAAGCAATGAAAGGAGTTAACTTTATCTGGACAGATTCCTGGGAGTGTGGAGCTGGTTCTGGCCTTGAGCGTTAAAAACCACAGTGGTGTCAAATGAATGTTACAGGAGAACAGAAAGTGCATCGAGTAAATTAGAAAAAGAGTCAATTATATGACAGTAAACTTAACAACCACATTAAAAAAAAAAAAAAAAAACTCCAACGTGGGAACATTTTAACCTCAAAAATAAAAAGGTATCACATGACCAGTAAGTCAACAAGTAAATGGATTAAAAAGAAGAAAAGTGTGGTGTTACCTGTGGCGCAGAGTGCCACAAACGTCTGGGCGTGTTTCCTGAGGATCTGCTTGGTGGACTGGTGGATCTTCAGCTTGGACAGGAAGTGCTCGATAAAGTCGTGGGGTGTGATAGCGGCCAGGTCCCACTTCAACTTGTTGAGGACCAGCAGCTCCATTTGCTGTAGGAGACAACCAGAGGCGTTAGAAAATACAGCCCTCATGCTAACACAACAGTAGCCATGATCTCACTCTCTGCTGCCACTGCCATCTGGTGTCTAGCAGTCTTCTAAACTAAACAGTATTTTTTAAATGTAAAAGGATTAAATAAATATATGTTATTATTATTTTGTCATGTCATAAACAGACATATACATCAATACATACATGATTTTTTATTACAATAAATTACAAATTTAATTACCAAAATGTTTTTATTGGCCTCTGACTTTATTAAATTGCTTAATCAAATGAACAATAATCTATTAGAATTCAATTACTAAACTATTTTCAATAAGAAATTGCAGATGGGTGCTATCAATTGACAAAAATGACAAAATGACAAAAAAGTAATTGGTCATTTTTTAATAAAGTTATCATTAATTGCAGCAATGATTAATATTCAAACAACTAAAAAAAATCAAAAAGATTCTTTTGTGCTGCCCTTGCACCTCTATCTGATCACCACTAGGTATCGCTGCCAGCCAAGCTTTCCTGCCTCAGACCATTCATGAAATTAGAGAGGCCTCCTAGTCACCATGGGAAAGTCACACTGCTGCCTCCTCTGTTTCTGCAAAAACTACCACACAGCCCCTAGCCTTTATCAACTCAACTCAATTATTGATCTGTCGTTGCAGCATAATCAATAACTCAAAATAACAGCCATGACACTGACACTGATCAAAACCAGAGCCACTGGAGCAGCAGCAGCCATTGTACTCTGTATTCTGGTCCTGTGCTCTTTGGTCCTCCTCTCCTGCTCTGCAGCTAACACGTGTGTTACACAACATCCATGATGTCTGCAGAAAAGGCCATTACCAGGAGTTCGTCAGGAAGCACAGAGTTGTCGGTGTAGATACAGAGTTTCTCTGCCGTTAGGGGAACCGTCTCCTTCATCTTGGATGCCAGAAACATGCATGTGGCTCCCAGCAGCTGCAGTCTCGTTTTCTTGGTTGCTTCCACTGATAAAAATCTGTCCAAATAGTTCATAGCCAGAGTAAAAACCTCCTCTTCACATTTCTGTTCCTCGCAGACCTGTGAGGAAGAGCAAGAGAGGGCACTTTAGAGGTATACTGCAATTGGATGTTTTAATACAACACCGCATTTTAAACATTAATGCGTTATTAAACTCTTCCCTCTGTGGCCGACGTTAAATAAAAGCTATGTTTTCAGTGGCAGCTCAAGCAGCCTAAACAAAAAAATAAAAATAAAATAAAATAAAAAATAAAATAAACTTAATTTCCCTGTTTAAAACTCAAACATTGACAAAATGAAGAAAGACTTTAAATGCAAACTCAAAGTTACCATTTACCTCAAAAATCTAAAATCTAGTCATATTTAATGCATTTTCTACGCCGGAGAATTAGTTTAGAGTCAGTTCTGACTAAGACACAAAGGTGGCGTCGATGCAAGTTTCACTCTAATTTCAACTTCGTCATCTTTTCAAAAAATATTTAGAAATATATAAAAATTAGCTAGGACCATTAAAATGACATTTAAATGATCCTCGTCGACAGCCTGATCACATGAGAGGAGAAACGTGTCGCCTTGTTCATCGTTTGAATTTTTTCTTTAATTTATTTCACAAAGTCCTGCGTTTCCCTTTTTTCCTCCTCTGTCTTCACGTGCTGCATTGGGCGCACGCTTTCAAAAATTAATTAAAAATATTTAGAATCACAGGAGGTGAACAAAATATGTATGTAAATATAGAGAAAGACCTCGTGCATCAAAGCCGACTGTTGAAATACGTTGAACATCTTTATTATTTCGAGAAAATTAACATTTCATGCTTTGGCTGCGACGTTTAGGGACCGGAGAAGAGAGGATTACAAAGTTGAACCTGTTGATTCCAGACGGACAATAAAGTGTAAAAGTACAGAATGACAAAGTCATATTTTCAGAGGCTATAATAAATTCACTGTCATTGATTTTTAAATTATTTTTTAATTTATATCCGCAAGAAATCTGTCTCTTGCACTCATGCGACAACAAAGATGGCGCAGAAGAACTGGCACGGGCCGGACTGCATACGTGTACATTGCTGTAATTTTGGAAAAATATATAAAAAATATCTACATACAGTTGAACATTCTAAAATTGCGGGGGGATAAAGTATACGAAAAGTAAAGGCTAATAAGTAAATGGGGTTCTTTCGGCTCCCTCTCCTCTCCTACATTGCCGACGGACCACCCAGACTGAGTACTTTTCACTGCGTTTATGTAACACTCAAGACGGAAACATGCAACAAAACACAACTCCAATACAACAATATTACCTATTAATATCACGTTTTCGCACAGAGTCGGTATGAAGTTGGCAAGTAAGTCAGAAACAGAGAAAAGGAAACCGGAAAGTAGGGTAAAGTTAGGGCACAAAAGGACAACACAAACCTCTAACATCCAGGTAGCAACTATCTTCCTCATTTTGGGCACTATTTCTTTCTGCACACACTTTAAGTAGTTGGGGGACGGCAGGTAGCTCTCCTCCGCCTTTAGCATGGTGTTGAGGACTCGGTCGTTGAGCAGGTTGACGTCCTGGTGGGCTCTCTTGATGGAGTCCACCTCGCAACACAGCAGCTGGTCCTCCATAGCGTTGAAGAAGAGCTAAAACTCAGGAGGTAACAACGGCCCAGGTCCTAACGCGAAGGCAGAGACAGGCGGAAGGTTACAGTCCGGGTGTTAGTTATTTAGTTGTCTCTGAAGTCTGTTTGTGTTGCCGCCACGGTTGTCGCGTGCTGCTACTCCTCTGTTGTGTGCGAGACTGCTGAAGAACACAGAGTTTCCCCCCGCGAGAGGGAAAAAAAAGGGAAATGGTGGGGTGGGCTGTGACGTCACCTGTTGTTAAGGGGGGGGGGCTAGGCAAAGGACTAGTAGTCTGCAGTTTAAATTCATAAATATAATATATAAATATATACGCATTAAAGGTAAACGCTATACATAGATATAATAAAAAATATAATATATCTATATATTTATTTTGGGTTTTCTTTTGTTGAACCGTGGTGAGCGACATACAATGGGGGCGTGGCCTATCTTGTGGCGGCTGCTGGGAGGTCCGGAGACCGGTCTGTGTGTCTGATAGTGGGGGTCAGAATAGCATCGGTAGGGGGCGACAGTTGCTACTACTAGCTTAGTCAATGTTTCCCAGTCTTTCTGTCCACAGGTCTGGTTGTTAATGAAAAGTAGCAAAAAACGAGTAGAGGATACAACAACAATAAATGTATGTGCAAAGGAATTGTCAAGATAATGGTGATTTTGAAATCACAAAAGAGTGAAGCAGCAGAAGCCAGCCAACACGCTCTGCTGGTTTTGGTAGTAACCCTGTTTCCAAAGTCTTATATTTTTCAGAGAAAGATATTTTTTTAAAAGATTATGGATTATAAATAAATGACTAAATAAATTATTTATGAATTACAGCACATTAAGCAGAGAAAGACAGTGCTAATGTTGTTAGCTGCTCTTTGTTAGCATCTCCATATTGTCGCATTGCAATCACTTTAAACCAGAAAAGCTTGCAGTTGATACAATGGGAAAAGAGAAACGTTGCAAACTTTTTACAGGAGTTCAACAAAAAAAATTAAATAAAGATAAAAAAAAAAGGTAAAAAAAAAAAGTACCAACAGTTAAAAGAAACTGACAGCAGATCTTTTAAGAGATTGTGTAGATTGACTAGAAGATAGTAGGAGACTGTTTGCGAGTGTGTGAAAACCCCCAACGCTAACATTAGCATTTTAGCCTCATATAAAAATGTGAAATCGATATTTTATACATACACATATTTATATATATACAATTACTGTATGTTGTCAAAGCTGAAGTTTCTTCTGGTTGGTATGAACTGATATGAAGGAAGTGAAGAAAAACAAATATAGGTGTAAAATAATGAAGTCACATGAATTTAAAAAGTAAAGAAAAAAGTGAAGACACACACACACACACACACACAAGCGGGAGGAGACTGTGGTTGCACCAATGGGAGGATTTGCTGTTACTAGGCAGATGTCGGTAGTACTTTTCGTGTGTGTGTGTGTGTGTGTGGGGGGGGGGGGTTCAGTTCACTGGAAAAGTTGACAGAGTTATTGATAACTCTTTGAAAAGTCCTTTGACTTGTTTTTAAAACAACAGAGAGAAATCGAGGTTGTTGTTTTACTTTAACACACACACACAGGCATATGAACACACACAGCCACACACACACACACACACACCCTGAAACCATTCATAAAAATGAACAACTGAGCTATCATCAAACTAAAGCGGTGACACTTCTGTACCACAGGATTCAGGATCTCTGTGGCAGCTGTTTGTTTGGTCAATATGAGTAACACATTGAAGAATTTTCATGTATAAATGATTCAACATTTTAAACTAGTTTCAATATGAATCGGAGCTTTTCACATTCCAGGAATTCCTCTCTGAGTAATTGAAGTGGAATACCGTAATGTCTGTAGAAGAAGTATGGTAAAAAGAGTGAGGAATCAGTGAGAAGTCAGTTAGAAGTTAATAAAAAAAACCTGCAGTTTTCAAATAAAACAGTACTATGTGTGTGTGTGCACATCAGGAAAGAAATAGAAAAGAATTGTGCTAAAGATGATTCTCTATCTACTAGTCTAACTTTTAGCTTTTTTGTTTATGAATATTTCTTTTAGTGCTTCTACCAAACTTTTAACTAATTTTTATACTATTATATTTTTGTTTATATATATGTATATATATATATACATATATTTGATTGTTTGTTGCTATCTTGCGTTCCATACTTTTGACAAAGTTTAGGAGACAACCTAAAGCAACCTTCTCTTAAGTATTTTGACAAACTTTTAGCTAAACTAAATTTTTGGCTGTTGTTTTATCTTAAAAATATTATATTTCTGGAGTAGTAATGATCTCATTCATATGTATTTTGTATTTAGATTTGTTGTGATACCAATGTAAACACCAATCGTTGTCAGTCTTTGGCTTAGTTTTTAATATAAGTAACATTAAAAAAAAACCACAAAAGTACACAGAATCAAGTTGCTATAAAATGCAGCACAGTCGTAAAACTAAAACTTCCAGACCTCCTGGATCCTTCTTAACAAAAGTTTTGTCATCCCTTAATTTACACAATGTGGTGCCATGTGACAAACTAAAAAGTAAATGTTCAAATACCGTGATTTCTATGGAAACATTTCATCAAAATGTGTCTTCATGAATTATTGTGAAGCTACTTCTTTTTTATTTTATTTTAATGCAGTGACAATATTGACAAACTCTTCAACAGTTAATTTTTGGTTAGAAAAAAAGAGTGGTCTCCCTCACATACCCCACTTTCTTCAGTGTCACTCCTTCATTCTTTCACACAGAGGCAACTGGGTTTTAAGCAGCAAACAAAGGGAGCATGAGCATGTGACTTTTGCAGTGAGGCTCTTCTAGTGGTTTTATGGTAAGCAAACAAGGAAGGAAGTGTTTAAAGGGACAGCAGAGACAGCAGAGAGCTGAAGTGAAACCAGCAGGAAGGGAAGAAGAGACCAGACCGGTAGAGACGGCTGATGACTCTGACAGCAGAGAAAAGAAGAAAAAAAAGTGATATGTTAATGCAGACACTAAAACACACCAACGTCACCTTCCTCCACTGACCCTGCACCATTTGACCAGTTTACTCCCTCTGACTCCCGTCTGCTACTTCAAAAACTGGTTCTGGCCACCTACTGAAGTGGCTGGACTGCACCATTATCATGCAGACAGTTGGTGTGTGAAACTCAGTCTGTTTGTGTGTGAAATGCGGATGGTTAATGACATGTACATTTTACGAGAAACAGTTAAAAAAAGGAAGACAGAACAATAGAAGTCATCAGCACTGCCGTTGAAAGTTCACTGTACTGTATGTAATAAAATGATGCTTCTTCTCTTACTTCTTCTTATGTTTTTTTTCCTGATGGGAAAACTATTAAAATCTTACCATTCAGTTACTATTCTTATCAAAAAATGGTCCTGTTTTTTTATTGCTATATTGATTAGGGTCGTGTCACTGAGGTGAATGAAACAGATTTTAATTCAGAAGTTACAAATGAACAGCATTAACTTAGTGAAGTAACTGTGAAAAAAAGCTGAAATGATTCATGAATGAGAGAGAGCAGAAAAAATACCCCGGCGATGGCAAAAGAAGAAGTACTTCATTAATCCACTGAGACGTTTACTTGTTTCAATGGCAATATTACCAAAAACAACACAAAACTACATATAACACAAGACAACAAACTGTAGAAGGCACGACAAAAGTCCATGAAAACTAATTTGAAAAGCTGAGGAAGTTAACTAGACACATTTGACACGATCATTTCAAATAATTACTGCCAAAATCATGCACATAAACCCCCCCATACTTTTAAGTAACACATTTCTGACACAGCAGGAAGGTGGCACTGCAGTAGTGATGTCGGCTAAAGTATGGTAGCAGGTAGATGTTGAAGGGAATTCAATAAAGTATGGTAGCAGGTAGATGTTGAATGGAATCCGGACGTTTCTCGTTCCCAATCCCAGAGAGACAAACTGTTCTAAATCACTACGTGGACTAATAAAGAGGCAGAACTTCATCGACCACCTCTTTCTGTAAAGGGAATTGTTTTCCTGACGTAGGAGTGGCAGAAATGTAGCCTTCAGTATCTCTCTGAGCCTATGAAAAATAAAATTCAGAAAATTGTAGCCTTGGCTGTTTAGAAGCGTTACGCAAGGGACGAAGAATCTCAAGTCAAATTCCTTTCAGATAATGAAAACAAGGGAACGAGAGAGCACGGTTCTACTTTTGTTTTGTAGCACAACATTTGATCTCAGGGTTAATACTTTAACTAATGATTCACCACAGGACGTCCTGTTCTGGCAGCCTTTAGTTTAATTTTGACTCTACAGTTGGAGGACGTTCACACTGCCCGGATACTCTGGAATGAGATTCATTCAAGCCAGTCGTTCATTTTGCTGCTGCTCTTCCATTCATTAATTTGTTGGTTAGTGTGTGCGTGTGCGTGTGTGTTTGCACATGCTTATCTCAACTGCCTCCCCCCTCCAGCCTCTGTTACCTCATTCTCCAACGTTTATACTCACACCGACACGCACCATTCATTATTTAGCATTAAATCAAAGAATAATAATTACTATATCATTACTTCAGATATTTTGATATACATTGGTTTAGACTCAATAATTTGGGACAGTGTTTGTGTATGTACTGTGCTTAACTTGTATCTGAAGTTTGAATATGTAGGTGATGAGTAATTCATTTTTTCTAATTTAAAGTAAATGTTTGGGCTAACCCTAATATGCTGTACATGGTATGCTAACTTTTCTTCTTCGTTTTCCTGTGGTATTAACAAGACCATAACTGTTCTTCTGTACTATAGCTAACGTTAGGCTACGCTAACATAATTTTAAAATGTTTTATTTGTTTTCAATTAAATAAAATTCTTCACTTTTATTAGCCCAACGGTAGCTAACCACTCCACGTCTTTCGTTTGTGTTCTGACTTACTTTTCACAGTCCTTTTGAAGTTCTGTAGATTTAGCTAATTTTCTGAATTTGTGGCTAATGTTAGCCTCACCTTCACCGGACCAATT